AGGGTCACCAGGTTTGATCACTTCAGTGAGTTCTACATCGAAATTAGAGGGCTTTGGTCTGTTTACTGATTTAAACGGTTTCAACATTGTAATAAGGAACTCGTCCCGTGAGAGCATGTCTGTTGGTTCAGAGTTTTGTCGAACATAAGGCTTAACTTGTTGCATGTTCATGGTCTTATGCCATTGCCCGTCGTTGCTCTTAACATCAACTATTTTTCCCTTATACCTGTGATGGGCAGGTCCCATCCATTCTTTACTTCTTTCTTGATACAAAAGTACTTCTTGACCTAATTCAAATACGAAATCGGTTGCAGTTGGGATTCTTCTGGTAAGAGCAGCAAGAATGCGCCTCTCGGCCACTACAGCATTCCTTTCCATTTGTGCCTTTGAAAGTGCAAGCATCCTTTCTTTCTGAGCGGGTATATCTGAGCTAATGATTGGGAATCTTGGTATTATCCCGAATACAACTAGTGAGGAAACCAGTCCGTTATCTCTGTTGGTATCGTTCATGGCTTTGATTTACAGTTTCAATGCAATGTTGCGGTCAATTTGAGGAAAGTCGAATATTATCCTTCGATTAATTCTTCGAAGGGGTGCGTGTAGTCTTTCTCCAACGTTTAATGAGTTGTGAGCTTCAACTCCTGAAATTCGAAGTTCTATCCCAACGCTTTCGGCCATTTCCTTCCACCTAGGCGAAGTGAAGAGCGAAGTGAAAACGGATCCCGCATCAGTTCTGACGCGGTTAGGGAATCCTGGATAGAGAGTGCGCCACGCTTCAAGGAAAGCAACCCATATTCCGTTGACTGATTGTCCTTAATTCTGACCCTGAGAGTCTAAAAATATGGCCGAGCTGAAACGAGTTGCAGTGTGGACAATATGCAGAATTCTTTTCCCTCGATGAACATCAGATCCATCGATATTTCTTCACCAAACTTAACTTCTTGCAGTGTGGGTAAAGTGGTCTTGAAGCTAGTTGGTTGTGATCCAAGCCTTTGACAGGTATTGCATGACATAGAGATCTCTTTCAAGACTTTTGTGATGGCCTCGGTGGCCTCGTGCGGCCGAGCTTTTCTGATGAGATTCAGAAGTTTCGTGTCCGTTGGGTGTCGAAAACCTCTATGAAGTTTGACCAGTTCACTTCTTGTGAATAGTACTGCGTCTTCCCGCTTTCATTCCAGGTAGAAATGTCCAAGCTTCCTTACGACTGGGACAGAAATGTTTCCTGGAGAACTGATTAGTACATTTCTTGTCGTATCCAGGTATAGTTGAAGTTTATTGAGCAAATCCAATCCCAAAAGAAAAGGTGCATTCGCTCTAACTACGTCAACCTCAATTGGCACAAATCCGTTCTTGAGAAACGGCAATCGAATTGAGATTGATCCGATTGACTTCTGCACATCAACACCGAATCTGTACTGGTTGAAGTTCGCTTTTAGTTTGAACTTACATCCAACAAATCTGCAGTATGCTTTGGCTTGCAGTAGTCCGATAATAACAGTGCGTTGTGCTCCAGTGTCGATGCAAGCTACCTGCCAGTCTTTCCTGCGTACATCCAAATTGAATCTCATCTGTGAAAGACCTCGGCGAGAGTTTAGCACAGAATTGGTCATTGTATCGCTGGAGGATTTTCTGAGACGCCGGTTTTTCGTATGCCATGGGCTGTCCTTGACATACGCGAGATTTTGTACCAGGACTGTTTTTTCTTGAGGACAGTCTCGTAGCAAGGTTTATTTTCTTTCGACTTCAAACTACGACGGTAAAGTAGACTGCCTCTCCTCACAAATCCTCTGGATCAAGGACTGATGCAATGCCCCGATCCCAGAACCAGTAACGTGGAATACATGTTCTCCTTTATCGGGATGTTCATGCGTCTCATCCTCAGATGAGGTAGAGTCCTTCTGCTTGAAGTTGTCCCGTGTAAGGGTAACAGAAGGGTCTTCTTCGTCTGTAGAGAACAACGCATCCTTCACTTGTTGACAGAGTTCGAAAGGGATTTGATGGCTTCTCTTCGGATATCTCCTGACTTGCGATGAGATATTTCGCATCACGTTGCGAGGTTTGGGGCAGTCCCTGATGAAATGAATGGGGCAATCCTGACAATTGTTGCATAGCCTGGGGGTACTATAACGGTCTAACCCATTTGACCGGCTTTTGTGCTGTCTTGAGGGGGCCTGAATGGGGCAGATGAGCGTGATCCTGGTTTCTTCGGTCGTCCGTAATATTTCTCACCTTCGTGGTAAGGATTGGCCCATGGGGCACCAACGACAGCCTTGTAAAGGTATTCGACCATGTCTTCCTCGGAACGGGGAGTCCGTGGTCCTTGAGGAGCAAAACGTGTGATGATCTCACGTAACTCTTCCAAAGCTTCTGCGGTGTTGAGCTTCTCGGCATGCATCAAAGATTGAATTCTCAGGCTCTGGAGGTACTTCCTGATTCTGTTCTGTCGAGTTATGCTGTTGTACTCGTCTTGCATAACTCGGCATGCCTGACCAAAATTTCCACACCTGTCCCTCATCTTCTCTCGATAGAATCGCTTAGCTTCTCCATCGAATATGTTGTGGAAAAGGGCAAGTTTATTGGTTTGGTCAAGGTTGTAGTCCTGGGCGGCATCAATGTAGTTATTGATGTGTTCCGTGAGGTCCTCACCCAGTTTTCCGGTGAATTTATCCTGATTCTTGAATCGCAATGCCATGTTGCGAGCGGCTCTTGCTTCGGAGTCACGTCTTCCAGGGGGATAACCTTGTACTGGTGGGCCGGCTTGACGTTCAATTTCCTTGTTAGTAAGCATACATGCTCGGCTACTTTTGTTGTGTTGAACAAGCCTTTCGTAATCAAAATCGATGTCGTCCGAGTCTGAGTATGACATTTTTACTAATCCCCATGAGATGCGGTCAGTTGCGGGATGTCTGATATACCCTACACCTTCTGCACGTAAGAAGTCACGGATGATTCTGAAAACGAACGTGGCGCCCTTCAGTACTTCGAAGGAGTATAGAGTTTTAACAGGGAGGTCTTCACGAAATCGTTGTACCAGTTCTGTGTCCAAAATATTATCAGATCTTGCGCGAGTAATGTGTAGCGTAATAACTGATCAGTTATATCGATATAATATCATTGTGAACTGGAGATAGTGGTGTATACGTTTTAAGTTCCTTGGTGATGGTCTCTATAGCTGCCTCGTCAATTCCGTTATCCATAGTGTTTGGTGAGTTAAAGTCTCCAGAAAGAAATTTAGTAAGTTATTTTAGCCTTAGAAACAAGCTTTCCGCAACCTTACAATTATACCGAAATTTTGACTTTTTTATGGCTCACACTAATTCCAGTTGAATACGCGTACAGGTCTGCAACGCTCACAGCTAATACAATAGTAAACACGTGTGCAACTTTCACACCTAGTGCAGTGTGTGATACGTATCCGATTTTGTGGGCGAAGAACACGTGCAAAACGTGTTCAATTTCCACACGTGTTAGAGTTCACACGTGTGGGAGGTGTGTGTGGAGTGTGGAGTGTACCACGTAGGGGCGCCAATTCCAATAGGATGCAACAAATTGTAATTCGACTTTTCAAAAAAAACAGCAAAAAATGTGTTCGGGAAAGTTTTGTAAACTTGTGTTTCAATCTTCGAGGAGGGTTTTTAAAAATGAACCGATATTTTTTGTTACGAAAAAAAGATAAATACTGCGCGTTACTTTACGCCCACGCAAATATAAGACTCGGCGGCAGTGGTTGGCGCCGTTGAGGTGGGACGCTAAGTCGTGTGCGGAGGGAAAAAACCTCTCACAGGTAGCGCAGTAGTGGTCTTCGCTCTCGCTTTTTTAGCGAGCTTTGCGTGCGAGGTGCCTCTTACCACCCTGGTGCTGACGTAGCTGATGGGTACTGGTAACGGTGACCTAGCACACGCAGCAAGTGAGCGAGGGTGCAGGGGGCTTCTTTGTCTTGATGCGCGTCGTAGCCACGCGGTACAGCGCTCGATTGACGCCCTCAGGTAGAGTAGAAAATGGTACCTTCACTACTGTAGAACGAGACTTAATTTGATTAAAAACACGGGCAGCGTTGTCCACGTGTAATTTTTGTCCCGGTCCTAGTTCGTCAATATCCGCTTCCTCTCCAAAAAACGTTGTCCGCAGGCCTCGGTTGGTCCGCCGGGGTAGCTTCTTCTTCGACGAGGTCCAGTACGGATTCGGAGTTCACCTCGTCGCTTTCCCAATTTACATCAGGCGTGCGGGGTAGAGACCGTGCGCCGAGGGCGGGATCTTCTGGGTCTTCTGCGAGGGCGGTCGGTGCCCCGAGGATATTGATGGTTTCTGAATTTAATAACACTAGAATAGAAATTAGTTAGGCAACTAGATTCCTATATTACAGGTAGCGAAAAAAGAAAGAACTTACTCTTGTATTTATTCGGTGAGAGTTATCCTTAAAAGGATGATGGCTATACCTCTTAATTGATTAAACGTACTGCGTTAATATCAAAGGAGAGGTAGGGAGACCACTCTCGTAGCGATTCCAAAACGTTGAACAATTCCAAGATCCTTGAGGTTGTTTTTTTCTTCTGCAAAGAAAACGATTAAGCTTAAAGTCTAGACTGTCGCAAAAAAGAAAAGAAAAGAGGGGAACAATAAAGGTTAACCGGCAAGACCGGGCGAATGAGGGGAATCGCGCTTTTTATTGTCGTGGCTTCGTTTTTGCTTTTTTCGCTTGTCTTGGCAGCTAGTCTGCCTCGACTCTTCCCTTATTTATACTACTTCAGCCAGGTGCTTTGTCCTCTCCTCACGTAATGTTTTGCACTATCGAAGCATTTTTAGGAGAGGATGCACTGCATGTTGACAGCTGAGATTATTAAAATGCTCCCGTTGTTGTGCACTACATTAATTGCGTTGAGGTGCATTTTAGTCGTCTTGTATGCGTCACCGTCATACCATAATTTCCCACAGAAAGCCATGCCTCGATCTCGAAGCGAACCAGATCCGCACGATGCGGCACTACTGTACTAATTTCTATCTCAAACTATCAGTTTAGTTAGATGGCTGCATTCCAAACTGTACTATTTTATCTTTCCACCTTCCGGAATACCCTGTGCGGAGGCCATTATTGTCGGGTCAGACTTGCATACGAGCTTGAACTGTTTGTCAAATACGACAGCGCTGTCTTTCCCTACCCGGAGTAGCTTGCTGGCATTCTGAAATGCTTTGCGATCTAAAGGCTGTGATCCAATCGTGACTGACATGCCATGAGGCAAAATCGCACCTCCAACTTCGACGTCCGGTTTCACTGTTAAAACTTTAACCTTCTTCTTCTTGTCCGCGACTAAAATCATGCCCTCTGACGCAATGCCAGCAAGCATCGCTGGGGCCAGATTGCAAACGAGAATTACCCTCTCGCCCCGGAGTTCATCCGCTGAATACACGTCTCGAAGGCCTGCTACTACGGTTCGGGGTCCCTTTTCCTCTCCAACGTCTACTCTTGCGATGAAGAGGCGGTCAGATTCCTCGTGATCTTTGACATCTACAACTTTGCCTACCCTCAAATCGAGGGTAAATCCCTTCTCACTCATCTGATCAGTGTCCTCGGCAACCTCATTCTGCTGCCCACCATATTTTGTTCGGAAAGCAGCAATTTGATCTTTTGTTAACGCGGTGAATAGGATCTGGGACACACCGGTTTTCATGCCAGTCTTCAACCACAAATTTGGTTCAAACATGTCCGGAATAATGTTATTCACACCAGGTTGATGCTCCAACCCGAGCTGCTCAAAAACCTTGCGTGAGAATTTATATCCCAAGAACGGTTCGAGTACCAAGGCGACGAGGACTACTAAGTTTGCCGAAAAGGCTAAAGAACTGCCTGCTGCTCTTGTCTCTCCCTCCTTGAACAGTTTCCATGGCGCTTTGCGCGTCAAGTATTGATTGCCAAGACTAGCGATTGCCATAGCTTTCTTGAGACCTGCCTTAAGGCTAACCTTCTCGAGCAAGGTAATGTACTGTTGCAATTCGACATTGATTTTTGAAGTAAACTCAATGTTTTCCTCGTCATCTTGGATGAGTTCGGGAACGATTCCTGCAAATGACTTGGAGAGAAAGGAGACGGTTCTGTTGATATAATTCCCCAGTGTCTTTATGAGTTCATCGTTGTTCTTTGCTGCCAAATCGTCCCAAGTAAAAACGGCGTCAGAGCCTTCTGGGCGATTGAGGAGCAGATAATAGCGCCATACCTCGCAAGGGATTCCCGTGTCGATGGCATCATTACCGAAAACGCCAACACCGCGCGACTTGCTGAATTTGCCCGTCTCGTAGTTGAGGTAGTCTGTGGTGGAAATATGGTGCAACTTGGTCCAAGGCTTTTGTGTAGCCAGCAGAGCGCCCGGCCACACGATTGTGTGAAATGGGACGTTATCCTTACCCATGAATTGGACCAGCTTGATGTCTACATTATCCTTCTCCTCGGGAATCCACCACTTTCTCCATCCGTCGCCGCACAGGGCGGCCGTGATGGAAGGGTAACCGACGGGTGCGTCAAACCAGACGTAGAAGACCTTGTCTTTAAACGCCTCCAGCGGGACGGGAACGCCCCATTTGAGGTCCCTGGTAATGCAGCGCTGGCGCAGGCCATCCCTCAACCAAGTCTCCGTCATGGCAAGAGCGTTGGTGGTCCACTTTCCTTGCTGCGAGGCGGTCTCGAACCATTCGGCAAGCTGCGGTTCGATCTTCGGCAGGTCCAAAAACAAGTGCCTCGTAGACTTGGACACCGGGTGGTTACCACACGTGGAGCACTTGGGCTGCAGCAACTCGGAAGGATTGAGCATACGGCCACACGAGTCGCACTGGTCGCCTCTCGCGTCGTCATAGCCACAGTTAGGACAGGCGCCATGCACATACCTATCGGCCAGAAAGCGTTTACACACGGCGTCACAATAAAGCTGGACGATAGTATCCTCCTGGACGTAACCATTATTATAGACGTCCCAGAAGATCTCCTGGACGATGTGTGTCTGGGTGGGGGTGGAGGTGCGTCCGAAGACGTCGAATGCGATGTCGAACCAGTCGTACACGGCCTTGTGCAGGGCGTGGTACTTGTCGCAGATCTGGCGCGGCGAGACGCGCTCCTGCTGGGCCTTGGTCTCGGTGGCCGTGCCGTACTCGTCCGTGCCGCAGACGTAGATGACGTTGACGGCGCGCTGGCGCAGGTAGCGCGCGTACACGTCGGCGCTGAGCACGGCGCCGATGATGTTGCCCAGGTGCGGGTAGTTGTTGACGTACGGCAGGGCGCTCGTGACCAGGACGTTGCGCTGGCCCGGGCGCGGGAGCGGCGGGGCGGGGCGCTGTGGCGGGGGGGTCTCTGGCGGTGGGGATGGGGAGGTGGCCATGGCGCGGCAGGCGGGGGGAGGGGCGGGGGGAGGGGCGGGGGGGAGAGGCGGGGTGGGGATCGGGGGTGTGGAAAGAGAGGGTGGGTGTGGTTAGATGAGTATGCGGAGGACGTCGGGGGACAAGGAGGGGATGATGTGCATGCCGCAAGGCGATGATGGATGGGACGGTGTGCAGTAAAGTTATTGGCTCGCGGTCGTTGACCTGCGTTGGCGTTGCTGGTCGACACGACGTGGGTTATGATCCGATAAAATCATGCAGCGTATCACACGTGGAAACATGGACACGTGGTGATGCGGGACACTCGGGACACGTGGGACACCTGGGACACATGGTTGGTGCCACGTGTGGCGGTACTGCACACGTACGTGTAGAGCAGGGTACGAGCATAGCAGGGTACGAGCAGAGCAGGGTACAAGTATGCTATTGCGTCCTTTTCGGCTTTTTATGCCTCCTTCCGACTCCTTTCCGCCCGCTTCGCAGTATCAAAACCATCTCGCTCCCTCGCCTTTCTTAGCTATTGTAGCAGCTTTCTTGCGACTGGCGCCGTGCCTGTCGACCGCAGCGACGGCCTTTTCAAAGCGTCGGTCTGCCTTTGATACTGTTCGCGACCTTCCCCTTCCTGCCAGTGTGTGGTTTTGGAGATGAGCTGGTGGCTCGAGTTTGCATTTATTTGCAATGCGCGGCGTCATGTAGGTTTTTATTGCATCGCCAAATCCGAATATGGCGACAAAAGGGTCCTGTTTGCATTTCGCGCGAAGCTACGCCGAGTTTAACATTTCAGGATTACAATAAATCTGATCGTTTTTGGCATTATGTTAAATCTTGGATATAAAATTCACTTTTAGTTTTGTTCAACAATGGAGTAGTGTTCAACTTTGGGGGGTACCAACTTGTACGCAAGAGAACGACCAGAGCAGGGTACGAGCAGAGCAGGGTACCGTTCTCAAGGGCTTGGTTTGGGACACTTTGTGCTGTCTCAAAAATATAGTATTTCAAACATTTAATCCATGATTTTTTACCAACTTCATCATGCCTTCAGAAGTGACATTTCTCCAAAGGGCTCAATTTGGGACACTTCCATAGCAAGAAACCGAAGTTTATCTCGGAAGCGAGAGTCGCACAAGTGCAGACGCGGCCTCATTACGCGACACAGATCCCTCAACTGTGTGCTCGCGCAATGTATGTGCGCTTGACCAGGTCAACCACTGACGTATGGGCAGATCTTCAGGAACCGAAGCAAAGCGGTCCTCCAGCTCTCTCGGGAACGAAGTAGAGACAGAAAGCATGTTTTCTCTTTGCCGATGGCTTGAGATCCTCTTCGATTCCTTTTGATAGCTTTTGGCGCCTCTTGTTTCCTCTCAGCGAGCAGTCGGCTTTTTTTACCCAAAGACTTTCAGAACATTTTGACTGTCATGTGTTTGGATTCTTTGCCCGCTGCTAGTGCCAAATTTGGGCGCTTTGAACGCATTTGAGATCTCTGCGCACCGTTCTGTTCTCGCAAAATAATGTTAGTAAATTACTTCGAACCAACGAGGACAGAAAGTTGAGCAAGATTGTTCGAGGGTGAAGAAGTTTTCTCACACAACTGTTTCAAACGATGTAAAAGACGCCTATCCGCCGTTCGCCGTTTCATGCTCTGCAAATCTTGCAACCCGAATTTATCTGTACGAGGAGAGTGGCCGAAGACGGTGTCGGAAATCATCTCCGGTCCTCTCTCCCTGCCAATTATTGCCGTGGCGAATCTATAGTCCATAGGCCACAATCCTGTCGTGATGAACGAGTCCTGTATTAAAGCTTTAGATATAGCCTTGTACCCTGCTGCGGCCAGATTCAGCTTCAACGTGACGTTGGCGTACCCCATATGGCAGTTTGCCAATAATTAATCCGTCACACACCGAATATGCTGCTGGAAAACGGGATTTATGGCTTGGTCGCAAGGCTGTAAAAAATGGCTCGTTTTCGCAGGAAGGCGAACGATTTATAAAATGTTCTGGGCACTGTACGCAAGCCAATCGAAGCATTTCGAGACACATGTCCATCTACGAGAAGAACAACACCCTGGCAGCACTGACGTGTTGTCGGATGAACGTTTTGATGTACTGTACCGCGTCCTTGATGATGTCGCCATTAATGGAGCCATTTTCTGTCACACAAAACTTTGTTGATGGTGGGCACCAGTCTGCCTTTGTGAGCCAGTGTAGTGCATTCGACATATGACGGATGTCTCGTTCCTGAAACTGTTCTAACCACTTTGACATAATTGTTTTGCCGGAGGCAAAAAGGGGTGCAAGAAGTCCAGATGCAGACGCTGCAATACCGGCTGTCACATTTTTTCCATAGTCTTTGACGGCCAGTAGCTTCCCTCCGTGATGCGAGGTTGCAGATGTAAATGTTCTAACTCTCTTCCCAAATTCTACAAGCACACTGGTCTCGTCGTATTTCCAGAGTCGCGTGACGTCTTCAAATATTTCTGGGTGCTTTTTAGCGATTGGAAGAAGAACATCTTTCAATATTCCTACATGAGCGATGTTGTTTGCTCCGAGGCGCGCAGAAGTGATATGTTATGAGTTACGGTACGTAAGTGACCGGTTTAGAGCACGGAAGAACCGAATAGCGGCCGGAGATGGCAATTGATTGCGAAAACCGGGGCGGCCGTCGTTCCATATTTTTGCCTGCATGCTTTGAATGGTATGCATGTCAATTGCGAAGCTTTTCTGAGAGGCTTCAACAGGTTCGTTGCAGTTGAGTTCCTCTTCTGCATCTTGCAATATCTTTTTTCGCCCTGCAAAATGCTGAAGGGGGTCACGCAGCTTTGTTATTTCGTCTTATGACCCCCTTCATATGCTGTTTTTATTCGGTGTACCGTTGAGCGCGAGACACGAGACATCTCCCTAATACTACGATTGGTTTTCAGCAGTTCAAGGGCTGCCTCTCTCCTTTCCTGTTCGTCGTGACTTCGTTTTGCCTGTCGCCTAAATGCTGCGGTTTGAGTCGGCATTGAAGGCGGCATTGGGAATGAGTGTCTGCGGCTGGTCATGTCTAAGAGTGGCGGGTAGACAGTATGTTAGGGTATGGTATCTTTTGGGGCAATGAGAACTCTTCTCCAGCTCATGTGTGAAAAAACGTGAAAGTATGTTTTGAAAAAAGCTGTCGCAAATTGAGCCCTGTCGCAAATTGAGCCTCTGAGGACGGTACCCTTGGTACTGCACAAAAATAGTTTGAGGAAGCGCCCAGTACGAGTAAAGTCGTACTGTGTACTGTATATGCTTTATTCAATGACTATTCATGTATTGTTGCGAATGGTATCTGATATCGACAGATATGTCGGGACAAGTGTCACGCTTGGACTGGATATGTTAAGTCTGTCGTCAGAGTAGCCTTCGAAGGGTAACTTACTGTAGGGCTTGTGCTCCTACACTTGTACAGTACCATTGTACTGTAACAGTACCAAGGGTACGGTGTTTGGAGTGGGCGCGGGAAGCAAGTGGCGAGGGAGGCGTTTTTGGAGATGAGGCGAGATACAACAGAAAATTCGTACAGTACCCTTGGGTACAATGCATCGACAGCACGCTGCGCGACTGTCTGAGAGATGTCGCTTGCACGCTTCAACCGGCACAAAATAATATCTCGACAGTCAACTCCTCTCCCGCCTCCCATCGCGCAACACGCTGTGCATGAAATGTACGCGGCCTGTTTCCCCGCGCATGCGTGCTAAACGTCATCAACGTCATCAACCCCCCGCTCCCTTCTTCCGCTCCCTGTCTCCCGACCGCCTGCGATTGAAGCGGTACAATCGCAAGGCATTGTCCCCACCTGAATTAAAAAAACAAACTCGCCGCCGCCGCAATAGATTGCACCGATCCCGTGCACACACCTAGTCCGCTGGCCTACTGTACCCCTACTGTACCACGCCACCTTCCCCATCACGTGCGCCGGCGGGCTCGCAAGAGGCCGGATAACGGAAAAAAAGAAAAAAAGAAAAAAAGAAAAAAATCTTTACAACACAACACAACACAACACAAAGTCACCGCCTTGACGAGCTTAACCGCGCACCCTCCGTTCCGTTCCGTCACGCATTCACGCGGCAAGGCATTCACGCAGCAACTCCCTCGCTCTCCGGCGGCGGGCACAGCTCCGCGATGGAATCAGGGTCGACCGGGACGTGAATCTCGTTCCTCTTGAACCACGGGAGCGTGAACGGGGGGTTGTACCCGCACACGGTGTACTCGCCCGTGACCTGAACGGCGTCCTTCTCCAGGGCGTCCAGCAGCTGTGCGGCCTTCTCCGGGGCGGCGTCCATGTCCAGGTTGCCCGCGTACGTGGCCACGGCCTCGCAGCGGCCGGCGGGGGCGACGCCGAGCTCGACGGCCGGATTGGCGGGCGCGGGCGCCTCCGCCACCGACTTGTACTTGCTCGGGAGCAGGAAGGTCATGCTGCGGCCCGACGTGGAGGGCGCCGCGCCGCCCTCTACGACGACGGGCGCGGTCATGGCGACCGGCTCGGGCG